TTAATCTATTCATATTTTCCCACTTCTCTCAGTTTATTAGTATTTTCCCTATGCTCTGTTCCGCTTGATTCCTGCGCTTTTGCTCCAATCACAGATAGAGCAGTTTGGGCTCTTGTCTCCTGTATTCTTTGTAAGTTAATTATTTGCCTAGTCGTGTGCATGACTATATATGTTACCATCCTAATTTTGTATTCCCAACAATCTAAAGTTAACATTAAATTTTCAATTCATAACTACAAGCCTTCAAATACTAGAAGTCCCAACGCTAATTTGTAATCTTTATGATAGTCTTAAAACCAGAAGCCTTAATATATTTTTTATTTTTGTAACCGGCAAGCCTTAATTTGTAACCACTCATAGCCTTAAAGTTGGAAGCTTTAATGTTTTAAACATGTGATTAAGTATGTAACTAACTGATATGTTTTAATTTTTAAAGTCTAGCACACATTAAATTAGTAAATTATAAACTTTACATGATAAACTTTAGTCAAATCACTATACTTTAAAGTCCAGAACACATTAATTCAGTAACTACTGAATGTTTATTTTGTTTCTCTTGTGACTGATTTTGGTCTTCAATATGCTTGTTTAATGGCTTGTGGTTTTTTTATGAATTTATCATTATTTTTGGGTAGAAGGTATCATGTACAAGTTATATCATTATTTTTAGCAAATCTGTATGTTTAAGTTCCGTGCGGCGCTGCCTTTGCCTTGCGCCTCACCCCTTATCAAAATTTAACAAAAAACGCCCTATGGTGCCTCACGCCTTTTAAAACTAACTTTCTTATGTTTTTTAATCCTTTTATCCTTGTATTATATAGGGGGAATTTGACTTTGCACCCCACTTTTTGGATAATATTGGAATTTGCACCCCATTTCAAAAAACTTTGACTTTGCACCCCATTCCACTTCAAAATCCTTGGACTTTGCACCCCATTTAGAAATTTTCATTCACAAAATGTTATATGATGGGGTGCAAGATCAAAGTTTTTTGGAAATGGGTGCAAAGTTCAATATCACCCAAAAAGTGGGGTGTAATGTCAAATTCTCCCTATTAAATACTACCTCCGTTCTTTAATAAATGCAACATGTGGAATTTTATACTATTCACATGTTCTACTTTGACTACTTTTTATTTATTAAAGTATTAATAACTTATTTTAAAAAATATATTGTTAAATTTGTTTCATCCTAAATTTTTTAAAATCTGAATTTCTAATTTTTTTACTAAAAGAGAATAAAATATACTAATGGTCAAAGTTGTGCATGGGCAAACGTGAAAAGTTGACCATTGCATTTATTTAAGATTTAAGAACGGAGGTAGTATATATATATATATTCTTTTTATCCTTTTTATCTTATCATTTTTATGTGTAACTTATCTCTATTTTATCTTAGCTTTTTTGTTATCTTTTTATGATACCTTATCATTGTATCTTTCTTTTTCTTTTGGCTCTGTCATGTATCAATTCATGTTAGCCGACCCCAAAATCTATTGGGACTAAGGGTTGGATGTTGTTTTTGTTGTATAGATTATTTTACTCCGTGTATCTGTGCTGTAGGAAAATACCCAGATTTAGGTGAGCACTTTTAATATAGCCTCAAAAGTTAATTAGGTTGGTATAATATGATATTGTCCCATGTTAAATGTGTTCTTTTTTAGTTCAATTTCAACTCAAAAGGTTTTTTTGGTTATAGGGCTTTAAATATTACAGAGTACAACAATTATCTTTGGACTGAAAGAGTAGTACTTAATCGCACTGTTGGTCCACACTCAAAAGAATTCTGCAGATTTCCTTTACATAAGTCTATGTCTAGCATATCTTATCTTGGCTTTATACCAGGAATTTATCAACACAGAGTTGTATGCACGCGTATCTGTTGCTGTGTTATTCTATAGATTGGCAGATCTTGTATGTATGGAGGAATTAACCAGAGAAAACAAAGATAGAAGTGCTGCCCTTGCGTCTGGAAAAATATTTTTGCTGGAACTCCTTAATTCTACGGTAGATTCTTCAAAATCTGCTCTTAAGTCATTTCATTGTCTCCAGAAACATCAACTTGCAATAAAAGCGATCGTTGTTCCATTTCCTTATTCGTATATAATAGATTCAATTTCATGCTTTGATTTGCCATGTTTTTGGGGCTCATAATTGTCTAGACACATTGGATTGTTTTATATCATGCATGGACACAGGCTCAAACCCCCACCCTTTCACATCATGACATATTGACATCCTACTTTGTGCTTCTTAGCTTGGCATATTTATTTAACTTTTTTACTTTTTTGGGGGTTTATGTTTGTTACTTCTACTATCTAAATTCTAACTATGTTTTTAGCTATTATCTGTTTTTTATTTTATTTTGCACAATGAGGTATTCTAACGATTATATGCTAATACAGCTTACTGACAAGGATTTATCTAAGGAGCTATATAAGAAACACAGTGCTGTAAGTTACTTTATTTTTATCATGGTTGATACTATACGGAATTGGAATCTATGAATGATATTTTTCTTAGATTGATTGCCACAGCTGAAGTCCTGAAGTAATTACTTAATATGTTAAAGATGGATATCTGTATCAAATTATTCATGTACCTAAATAGCACTCACGTTTGGAACAAACTGCTTTTCTTTTGTTGCAAACTAATGCAAATATATATGATAGGCGAGTTCCACATTTTATCCTTTGACTGTATGACTGTAGTGGCTTTGTCATCTCTAGTCCTCACTCCTCATCTTAAAAGTGACCGTTTTTTTAACTGTAATGATTAGCTGGAAAATAGGCTGGGCAACCAAATGTGGCACAACCACTGTTGTTAAAACTTAAAAGACCAAAAGCGGTTGATTTCAAGGTCAAAATTTAGAATCGGAAAAATAACTTTAGTAGAGGACCAAACATGGAAGCAATCCTATTATGATAGATATAGAAAAAAGATATTCAAAACCATTGCTTCATAGCACAATCAAGTCCAACACCATAATCAATTTTGAGTTCACGACGAACTAAAATTACTCTGTGTTATGTGCTTCATAGTTCATACCTTTATGTAAATTAACCTTTAATGAAGAGAGAGGAGATCTGTTTATTTATTCCTCCCTCCGTCCCATTTTACTTAGCCAATCTTGATTTTTTAAGTCAATGGAGTCTAAATTTGACTGATTATATGTTTATATAGAGAAAGTATTAATAATATGAAAATGATATGAAAATGTTCTTTGTTAAAAATACTATCATAAAAGTATAAAATTATTAAATTTTGCATAAATATATTAGTTACATAATTGGTCAAAGTTTACCATCTTTGACGGGAAAAGTCAAAGATGGCTAAGTAAATTGGGACGGAGGGAGTATTTTTTGTTCCTCTGTGCATATTACATGTGATGCTGTCATGGTACACAATCAAGATTTAGTGAATCTTTTCTTAAGCATGCTCTCGTTTATATTTTGTTGTTGAATAAGTATTTGACAAATGAATTAATCCTTCTAAGAGAATCTTTAAAATTAAAAATGGAGTAAATTTTCTTTACTGTTCAGATGATTTACTAGTAATTTCATTTTTAATCGCTCAGTGCCTCTTTTTTGTATGGCTACATCTTGAAAACCGTTATGGCTTACTGACTTACTGTATCCCTTGTGTTTCTTGTCAGATCCATAGGCGCAAAGTTCGCGCATGGCAGATGATTTGCATTTTATCACGGTTTGTTGAGCAGGATATGGTGCATGTAGTTACTCATAGTCTTCATACATGTCTCTCTGTAAGATTATTTTTCATTCATTTCCAATGCTAGATTATTTTCGCAATCTATATTCAGTGATTCTTGTCAACACAACAGAAACAGAGTGGAAAAAGGGGAAAACATGTGTTACTCGAATAAGAGCCCATTTGGTAACGTTTTTGGGCTTATGAGCCTTATAAGTCATTTTTATACAAAACATTATTTTTTTGAGCTTGCGCGCCGAGTTGTGTAATAATCAAAATAAGTAAAGGTGTAGTTATTTTTCTCAGTTTCTGCTGAACTAGCTGAAAAGGACATTTTTAGTTTTTGCATATAATTTTGAATATGATTTTTTAATTTATCTTTGATTTTTTTATTTTTTTGCATATTATTTATCTTACAGATTCATCCATAACTTCAGATTTTTCAGTAGTTTCAGCCAATTTCAGCAGATAATAGCTGAAATTTGTGATTTATTTTAAATTTTTAGAGCCTATGCCTTGGCAAAGGTTCTCGTAATGACTTGTCACCTCACCTTAGCAATTATAGAATAAAAAGGCTCCATCCATTTACTTTTAGTTGCTCCTGGAGGGTTTCCATGGGATCAAAGAGTAAAAGTGCAGGGATAGTGAATAGTGTATAAAAAGTAGGAGAGAGAAGGTGAAAATACACGGAAAGTTGGAGATGATAAAAAAGTAAGGGTACTTATGTCTTTTAGAGATGTAGCAAAAGTTGTCAAAATGAACATTGGCACAAGTAGTAATGAACTTCCATAAAGGGTCAATGGAGCAAGTAAAAGTGAAGAGACGGAGTATGATGCAATTGAATTGCCACAATACTTACCTCCGGCACTTTGAGAACCTACCTATGCATATTAAAAATGATATTTCTGAATATGGTGCCTATTCATTCATGCCTGATAATTTTTGTGCTACTGATCATGGTGTTATTATTTGTCCTCTTTCTCTACGTAGAAAAACAATTTGCCATCTGTTCGGCAGTACCTGGAAACGTTTGCAATTCATATATACTTGAAGTTTCCATTACTGGTATGAATTTATCTGATCACATGATTTTTCTTGTTTTCCTTGCTACAAAATTTAATCTAGACAAGATATTCTTCTTTGTGGTGTATGGAATATATCATTTCCTGTTAATATTGTTATTTTTACACTGCGTGAGATTTAGTGAGCTCTCATGTTCATTTAACAGGTCAGGGAAGAATTAGTTGCGCTTCTTCGAGATTCTGAAATGCGGCCCCAGGTGAGCTGTATATTAAAATGCATTCTGTTAATTTAGGTAGAGAACCTTTTGTTTTTATTATCTGATGATCATACATTGAAATTTTGAAAGAATTATCTGACTTGCTTTATTCATTCACACGAGTACAATATATATAGAGTACAATGCTAACAACCTTAATGATAAGATCCTAAAATTTAGGATCTGACTACCTACCGGCTCTTATCTAATAAGAAGTATTAAATCACAGCTAATTACACGAGTATTCTAACTTATCTACAATTCTATTCGACTGTACAATTCTATAAATCACTTTATATGGACAGTGCATAAACTGACTGACCATACTGAGTGCAAAAGCAATATCAGGTCTTGTATGGGATAAGTAGATAAGCCTCCCCACCAATCTCTGATATTGCTGAACATTTTCTGGGACTCCATCCTTGATATTATCATCACAATTAATATAGAAATCTCCCCCTTACTTGAGCATTTTGTAAATAGAGTATGATCAGCCTGGGCCTGCTTATATCCTTGTTTTTTAACAAACTGTGTGAACCTGTCAAACCAAGCCCTTGGAGACTGTTTTAGTCCATACAATGATTTCTCTAGCTTGCATACTCTTGAACCAAATCTGCTTTCAAATCCTGGAGGGGGGGTTCATGTAGACTTCTTCTTCAAGTTTCCCATTTAAAAAGGCATTCTTCACATCCAACTGTTGGAGAGGCCAATCTAAATTAGCTGCAAGAGACAGAAGAATTCTGATAGTATTTAACTTTGCAACTGGTGCAAAAGTCTCAGTATAGTCTATGCCATAGGTTTGTGTATAACCTTTGGCAACTAATCTTGCCTTATATCTCTCAAGAGTACCATCTGCCTTGAATTTAGGAGTGAAAATCCATCTACATCCAACTATGGGCTTGTTTCTAGGCAACTCTACAATCTTCCATGTCTGATTCTTTTCAAGAGCATCCATCTCTTCCCAAACAGCTTTCTTCCACTCAGGTTTAGATAGAGCTTCCTGTATGTTTGATGGAATAGAAATAGAAGAGACACTAGAAGAAAAGGTTGCAAATGTAGAGGATAATATGGAATAGGAAACATGGTTTGAAATAGGATATTTGACACATGACCTTTTTTCTTTTCTGAGAGCTATAGGTAAATCAAGATCAGTTGAGTTATTACCTCTTTCATGTACTGACATTGGGTCAGATTCATCAATAGATGTAGGTTCAGAGACTTTCTCTTCTCTTTGATTTGGAACTCTTCTCTCATAAACCTTGCCAAAGAATTTACTAATCTGTTGTCCTTCTTTTCCCATTTGTCAGTTGTATTTGTCTCATTATTTCCTGATTTTTGACTATTTTCTAATGCATCTAAATTTCTGATAGGATGCATATCTAGACTAATGTCAAGAAAATCAAGATTTTCATGAATATGTGACACATTATTAGCATCTTCATTCAAATTCTCCCCCTGAAGATGATAATCAAAGAAAGGTTGGGTTTCAACAAAAACACTGTCCATTGAAATAAACATCCTTTTTGTTGAAGGGTCAAAGCATTTGTACCCCTTCTGCGTGGAAGGAATGCCTAGAAAGACACACTTAGTTCCTCTAGGATCAAATTTACTTGCTGTTTTATCTGGATTTTTAATAAACACAGTGCAATCAAAAATTTTTAAAGGAAGAGAGCTTATCAATCTAGTAGTAGGATAACATTCTTGAAGAATACTAATTGGGGTTTTAAATCCTAAAACTTTTGATGGCATTCTGTTTATTAAATAGGTAGCATGTAAAACAGCAATCTCCCCATAAATACTTTGGAACTTTCATTGAAAACATGATTGCTCGTGTGACTTCAAGTAAATGTCTATTTTTTCTTTCAGCAATTCCATTCTGAGCTGGAGTATTGATGCAAGAACTTTGGTGAATTTTTCCTTTTTCAGCAAAAATATTATTTAGGTTTGTAGAAAAGTATTCACGACCATTATCACTTCTTACCATTTTGATATTGGTATTGAATTGAGTTTGGACCATTGCATAAAACTGCTTAAATGCATTTTCTATTTCTGATTTTTCCTTAATTAAGAATACCCAGGTTACCCTTGTATGATCATCAATAATTGTTACAAACCATCTCTTTCCTTTTAAAGTAGGAATTCTAGATGCTCCCCAAATATCACTATGCACAAGTGAAAAAGGACCAGTAGATTTGTAACTATGGGGAAGATATGAACTTTTATGATGCTTAGCAAGTGAACACATATCACAATGAAACTGTGAAATAACTTAGGAAACAACTTTTTCAAGTAATGAAAACTAGGATGACCTAGTCTATAATGAATTAAATACAACTTATTATTACTGGGAAATGTAATGGTTTGCAGAAAAGTATTTCTTTGACCTTGTTTATTTGAGTCAATCCCTTCATCAAAGATATAGAGTCCATCTTCTTCCCTAGCACTGCCAATCATCTCCCCCGATGCCAGATCCTGAAAAATGCAATAAGAAGGATAGAATTTAACACAACATTGGAGATCTTTGGTTAATTTGCTGACAGAAGCAGGATTACAGGCTAGGTTGGGGACATGTAAGACTTTAGAGAGGTTAATAAATGAGGAAACTTTAACATTTCCAGTTCTTGCAATGGCTGAAAGAGAGCCATCTGCAACTTTTATTTTCTTATCCCCTGCACAGGGTTTATATGAAAAATATAGGTTGGAAGTGGAGGTCATATGGTCTGTTGCACCTGAGTCAATGACCCAGGTGGTGTTTGGTTTACCAGAACAGAAAAATGAAGCAATTGTACCATTCTGAGCAAAAGAACAAGAAGGATTTTCTGATTTAGGGTTCTTTTGGGTATTTAGGAATTGTAGAATTTGCTCTATCTGTTCCTTAGTGAAAGATGGCTGCTTGAAATCAACTTGCTGCTCTTGTTCAGTCTCAGGCATGGTAGTATGTAGAGCTTTCTTCTTTCCTGCTCCTGGTGGTTTTCCATGGATCTTCCAACAAGTTTCCCTTGTGTGCCACAGTTTCTTGCAGTGATCACACCATGGTTTTTTTTCTTTCATCTCCCCTGACCACCAATGCTGAGGATTCTCCAGTATCATTCAGAGTTCTTGGAGTGTTATTCATAATCCTTTTTCTGCTTTCTTCTATCCTGATTGCAGAGAATACTTCTCTGATTGAAGGCAAAGGCTTCTTTCCCAAAATCCTTCTCTTTACTTCATCAAAGCTTTGATTCACTCCTGCCAGGAACATATAGACTCTGTCATTTTCTTCCCTTTTTTTGTGTTTGGCCAGATCCTTTGCACTCTCCCGTTCATCATCATAATACTGATCCAACTCTTGCCATAGAGACACCATTTCATTGTAGTAAGTGGTGACATCTCTATCTCCTTGTTTGGACTGTCAGAGAATGGTTTTTAACTCAAAGATTTGAGAAGAGTTTTCAAGGTCTGAGTAGGTTTCTTTTATGGAATCCCAGACCTCTTTTGCTGTCTTCATAAACATATGAGGTTTAGCAATTGAGGCCTCCTTAGAACTGAGAAGCCAGGCTGTTACAAGGGAATTTTCTGACCTCTATGTACTGTAGCCTTCCTCATCAGTTTTTTTGGATTTGATTTCTCCTGTTAGGTAGCCCAATTTTCCCCTCCCATCAATTGCGAGCTTGACAGATTGAGACCATTCGAAATAGTTCTTCCCATTCAATCTATGGCTAGTGATTAGCATATATGAATGAATAGAAGACTGGTAATTTGTCATAGGGCTAATTTGGGAGGTAGGGTTGCTAGTGGATGATGAGTCAGAATCATTGGCCATCGTGTTGTTTAAACCGAGGCTCTGATACCATGAAATTTTGAAAGAATTATCTGACTTGCTTTATTCATTCACACGAGTACAATATATATAGAGTACAATGCTAACAACCTTAATGATAAGATCCTAAAATTTAGGATCTGACTACCTACCGGCTCTTATCTAATAACAAGTATTAAATCACGGCTAATTACATGAGTATTCTAGCTTATCTACAATTCAATTCGACTGTACATTTTTACATACATCATAACTCCTACATATATAGTGAAGTAAATGGTACATTAAAGGACAAAAGAAAACTAAAATTCATAAAGGAAAGTGAAGTAAGCACATGCTGGATTATAAAAAGGCACATGCTTAAATGCTATTTCCAACACTTCCCCTCAAACTGGAGCATACAATCCTCCGTGCGGATATAATTGCAACATAGAGCTGGGTGCGGGAATTAAGAATTGAGGGATGACTTTTTTATTTTCCATTTTTCCATTTTCCTACCAGTGAGAAACCGAATTGGGATACCAAATAAGGGGCTCAGGTAGTCAGCAACAATTCTTTTTTCTTCTTCTCCTTGATTTTCAATTAAAATCCTTAGTTTTCTTCCTTCAAACACAGCTCGAGTGGAGTGCCATAGCAAATGCCTTTTCTTTCATTTGATTTTGAGATGGTTCACAACATATTAATTTTTGTATTTATCACCATTTGGTGGGTTCTCTGCTGGAGAAGAATATAAATAGAGAAAGGAGAGTTATGATAGTGGGGTGTGGCGAAATGGGAAAAATGAGAAGGGATGGTGATGGAAGAGAAAAAATTGCAGCCAGAGCAAAAAGCACTACCGTCACAAAATGTAGCCAGAGCAAAAAGCACGTTTAAAGATAGAATAACTTTAATGCCCTTAATATATCTGACTGGACATGAGTTATTACTTATGAGCAATTGAGCATGACCCTAGAGCATCATCTATGTAGGATGAATGGACGATGGGTCAGTTGCACTAGCTGCGATATTTATATTGTGTACTCTTGCAGGCTTTATCTTCTTATGTGTTTATAGCTGCTAATATAATCCTGCATTCAACGGGAGCTGCACAATCTGAAAGGCTTAGCGAATTACTTCCTCCTATAATTCCACTGTTGACATCACATCATCACACACTGCGTGGCTTCACCCAGGTCAGTCCGTTTGAAGGATCACGTGTACTGCTTAGGCACAGTACTGCAAAATGTTAACACACATTTATTTATATACGTAGTATTTATTTATTTATTTTTATATTTATTTATTTATTTATTCATTTACTTTTCCAGTTATTAGTATACAAGGTTCTGCAAACATTGTTCCCAACAAATGCTAGTCGTTCCACAGACCTGCCTATAGAGAGAAGATGTTTTGAGGAGCTTAAATCTTATTTGATGAACAATCCTGATTGTGCACGGTAAAGTTCAATTTTAATGAAAAGCAAGCTCTCTTTTTCATTTTATTGTTTCGCTTTGGCATTGTTAACCACTCGTCTCCCTTAAGCAGAGTCTATAGGCTCCCTCTAAGTAGTTAAATCGCTACTCAGTGGTAACTCGGTCAAGGGCCGAGTCACGATTAGGACCGATTACTCGAGATTACTTGGCCCTGTATTAATTAAACTTAAAAACATAAATGCCCCAAAGTTCTAGTAATAAATTAGTCTTATGATTATTCAATAAGAATAAAATCATAACAATCCTAATAATGAAGTACCAGCAAATCCCAACAATCATAAACATTCTAACTTCCAAGAAAATCATTTACCTAATAATACTACTTTATTCTGAATATTTGTCCTGAAGATCAAAGCTAATCTTCATTGGGTTAAGGGTCACCATCTTCTTCTCCATCCTTCATGTCCTCAAACCTAGACTGACTTTGTAATATTATTTTTTCAATTTTTGAAAATTGAAATACCTACTAAATAGTTTAAAATGGCCAGATTTAGTTTAAAATGGTCAGATTTAACCCCCCAAAAATCAATTTTACAGGCTACTGAGTAACTCGGTGAGTCAACCTTGTCACTGAGTAGTGAAAATCACCGAGTACTCGGCGAGTTATTAAAAAAAAGAGACAGTGCGACTCAGAGTACTAATCGGTTAGGCCCTACCCCGTGTTGGGAGTACTCGGCGAGTACCGATTAGATAGCATAGGGCTCCCTATTGCAGTTTTTTAATCGTTTGTGTATCTTGCATTCCAATATGTACTGATGTACTCTAAACAGTTAAGTATTATTACGCTGAGTAAAATGTCTTGTTTTTCATAAAGTTTTACATGGTATCACGGCATCAGCACTAACACTCTTGTGGCTGGAAGATGTCTGAAAAAAGACTGCAAGAGAGTATATGCCAATGTCATCTGCATTGTCTTATAAGTGAACCAGCAGTCACTGTATATCATTACACTATCCTGGCTGCCATTGTCACACACTCACTAGAGCAGTTGTTGCCCACTGCCATGACATGCGTGCGCTGGCTTTTGAGTCACTTTCAGGCAACATTTTCTGGCCCAAATGTGCAGTTAGGCTTGTGACACCTTAAAGATTCTTTTTTTTTTGTAATATTCTGGTATCCGCAAGTCTTGGGAGCGGCCTCTTTTCAAAACTTGGCAGGGATAGGATTTCCCTTTATACAAAACTTGACAGGGAAAGGCTCGCCACTTATACACCCTCGTGGTGGGATCCTTGCCTTGCGGGGATGCCTTCGTGCTCTGGACTGCCCTCATTCTGCTATCCACAAATGTTATTTATTTTTTATTCTAATTCCTAGAAAATTAGATCATGCATCCTTGAACTTCAGTTATGTGTACTCCATCTCCCATTTTAACTCAAAAATTGACACATTTTAGGGTGTTGAAAACCGGTTTGTGCACCAGATACGGTTATATATAGCAAATATATAGATATCGTGGCCACTTATTTATGAGGTCTTGATCTCCTTAGCTGGTGATATTTTACTTTTGCTGTTATAGTTTAAGAGCTTCAATGGAAGGATATCTTGATGATTTTGATCCACAGAAGTCTGTTATGCCAGCAGGAATTTTCAGCACTCGAGTTGAGGTCTGCAAAACTCTACTTCCGTCCAAATAAAATAATCATGTTTGTAATACTGAAATCTGTATTTCACGGAGGTAATATTAAACTAGGATAAGACCTAAAACATGTGCCTTTAACTTTGGCTTCAAAAATGTCAAAATGCTGGGAACATGTATTGCTTTCTCGAGATTCCTATAAATGCTCATCATATTGACAAAATCAGAGTCTTTGGTTGGAAATCATGTTTTATACACTCAACTAGGAAACAGGAAATGCTATCCAAGTCGTATCATAGGCGATTTAGATGTCATCATACATATGCTTATTAGGAAAGAAGATGTTGCATAACACCCAATCTGACTTTTTTTTACCATCGAGTTCACCATTTTCCCAAAACAATCTCACTTTGAACATTTTAAAAAACATCATCCTAATATAATAAGGAGATTTCGATGTTTTGGGGTAAATCTAGAAATGTGGAACATTTCTTAATTTCAAGCACTAATAATGGAAAAAATTGAAGCCAAGGAGTAAAAGGTGAAAAACACTTCAGCTGTGGAAAAAGTGGAATTTACTCGATTACTTCTATTTTAGTAGTTAGTACTAGAGCGTCCATGGCTAACAGAGTTTAGTCATTCTCCATCCGTCCCAACATTTTCCATGATTTGCAATGGAGCCAAAGATTCACTATTTTTTGGCTTGGGAATATGATGGAGTAAAGCAAAATGACTCACTAAACTGTCTGTGCTTCTTTAGTGTGAAGCAGCAGTCAGTCCATGTATTTTTCAACGCGATTTTCACTATGGGTCATTCGGAAACAGTCTCTATGTGCTTTAGTACAGGGGTAAGACTGTGTACATCCGACCCCCCCTTACCCCACCGCAGGTGGGAGCCTTTGCGGCACTGGGGTAATGATGATGATGATGGAATATGATGGAATAAAGCAAAATGGCTCACTAAACTCTCTGCGTTTCTTTGTTATGAAGCAACAGTCAGTCCATGCAATTTTCAGCGGGGTATTCATTATGGGTAAGGCTACGTACATCCGACCCCCCATCTTACCGTAGATGGGAGCCTTTGGGGCACTGGGGTGATGTTGGTGTTGTTGTTGTTGTCCATCTGTCCAACATATAAGGCCACCTTGCTTTTAGCTTTAAAATAATGAAACTAGTAAAATGTAGGCCACTTGTCAAATCATTTCAAGAGTGCCATTTTGGTATAAACTAGGAAAAACTAGTAAAACGGCTAGGAAAAACTAGTAAAACGGCTAGGAAATGAGAGTGAAGTATAGGAGATCACTTTAAAGAAAAAGATAGTGCAAAAAATGATTGGTGTTTTTGCATGGTATCTTTTCTTATTCCTTCTCATTGTTTCTGTTGTTGAACAAACTTCTTTCCATCAAAGTGCATAGTTTCCTTTATTTTTGCATGTCGGATTTCCAACAAACTCTACTTCGTTGTGTCATTTGTTCTTCATTCAATTCATATTTTAAAGATGTATGGTGCACTCTTTACTCAAGTTTTTTCGCTTACTATTAAGATGCTAACCCTCCCTATTTTTTGAAGGATCTTGAATTTGAATGTGTACCAGTAACCCTTATGGATCGTGTAATCAGTTTCCTAAATGTAAGTGCCAAGTTATTCACATTTTACCTTGTTTCCATATGCTTTGTAATTCACCACGATGATTATAGGATGCTAGGGATGACCTTAGGTCCTCAATGGCTAAGGATGCTGCAACTATCAAGGAAGAAAGCTTAAGCATTGATGATGATGATAGGTGTAATGACATATTGGAGATTCTATCTGTCAACCAGGCAACCTCTTTGTCGAAGGATATATCTTTTGATTTTCAGAGAA